TGCCGAGCGGCCAAACCACTTCTTGAAGATCCAGGGCTCTGCCTGGGGGGGTGGGACACGGAGGGGACCAGGCTCCGGTGACACAGCCCAAGGGTCTGGGGACCCCTCTCCATCCCTCCCCCTGGGGACAAGATGCTCCCCCCCCTCCGCCCACGGGAGGTGCCCTGAGGATGCTGTTTCTCCCCCCAACCCGGACCTGTACCAGGTTGCTGTCAGCATCGCCGTCATCATCACCATCGTCGTCACCATCATTTTCCTCGAACATGCTGCTCTCGGGCTGGGCGGGCTGGGCAGTCATCACTTCTTGGACCTCCTCTTCCTTGGCGCTGACCACCTCTGGGAGGGGAGAGGGATGGGCCACTGTCAGCAGGGGGTGAGGCTGTTCGGGTGTGATGTCCCAGACATGGGGTCCCAGAGCCACCGACAACATCTTTTTTTGTTTGTTTTTTTTTTTTTAAAACATTCAGTTTAATACCTTATTAAAAATGAAAATAGTTTATTTTAACCTCTATTGATTTAGCAAATACTTAAACCTGCCGTGGGTTGGGGCTGTGAACGTCTCCTGTAGTTGCTACAGCGCTGCGTGATATTGCACTTGTGTTTCGTTCCTAAAAGCGACTCTGTGAAGGCAAGGCCCGAAGGGACCCCCGGGTGATGGGCTCTCCAGCCCTGTTTTGTTACCAGCAAGCTTCGCGCCACCCTGCAGCGATGGCACCGGGGCCCAGCGAGGTCGCGGTGGTCATTCCCCTAATGACCCTCTGAGGACGGCAGCAGCCTGGCTTCATTAACCCAGAATACACTTCTCTCGTGATTTGCTTGAAATAAAACCATTAACTGAATTCAAGAGCTACACAGTCTGGAGACAAACTCTGTTCACTGGGATGCCTGTGCCCACTGCGCCGCCCCGATGCCTCAGGGACCGCGAGTGAAAATGAACTGCAAGAGAGATTTTGGGTGGGGATGGAGAAATAGTGCGAAGTCCAGATGAAGAGAAGCTCCTTCCCCTGGTCCTTTCGGGTTGCCTTTGTGCATCTAATCCAGGGGGGCCCAAAGTCCCCAGGGAGTCTTGTGCCAGGCTCCCGGGCTACTCTGCTGCTGCTCGGAGATCCTGGAGCGCTGCCTGTGCCACCAGCCCAGGGATGTCTCTGGAGAGCAGGCAGGGAGCGGCAGGGTGCCCTTGCCGGGGGTGGTGGTGGGGTTGGACCCCCCTGGATTCAGCATCATCGAGCCCCTCGGTTGCCCCAGCCTCAGTCGCGCCTCTTGCCCTCCCTAGGCCTGGCGGT